ATTGGGCTATTGTAGAATTAAATAAACGAATACAGAGGAGTACTTAGCACAGTGACTGGCATACATTACCTAGACAAGATATTTTAGCAGTTTTTCTTTTTATGATGATAAGGTAATTGAGCTTTCTGTTTATAAAAAAGTAATCTGGGTAAAGCTAATCCACCCAAAGCCAGTCTCAGCCCCCTGTTGAATTAGAAACACTATTTCCTCCTCTGAAACAAACAAACAAACAAAAAAACAACTGCAAAGCAATTTAAATATTTATCCAATTCTTTTGAGAATGTTAAAGCAGATATCATCCATAATCTCAGTAAAACCTCCTCCAATTTCCTCCCTGCTGCTTTCTCTCTCTCTCTCTCTTGCTGTCTGACCCCTCACTCTTTTTCAGTATCTCACAGCACAGCAGCCCCCAAATCTGCGTCTGGATCCCCCAAACACTCCCTCAAAACTTCAGCCTCTCCCCATTTTTCCCACCCCACAACCTCTGCCCTTTCTCTTGTAGCTTCTTTCTCCCCCACCTCCACCCATTACCCAGATCCGCAGGATAAAGCCCAGGATGCAGCTGCCTAACACACCAAGTTTCCTTCCTCAGAGAGGACAGGGAGGATGGAGGCTCTGAAAACGTTAATCACGTTTTCCCTCTCCCAAAATGGGCATACATTTGTCAATTCAGCTAAATGCAGAATCACATCAAGGAGTTTCTAATGGTTAATATCTGAGGAGTGAGATTATAGGGACTGATTCTTCCCATTGTATTCATTTCTGCATTATCTATTTTACTTTTTTCTCTTTTTTCTTTTTCTTTTTGAGACAGGGTGTCATGCAGAAGTCTTGAATTCCTGGGCTCAAGTGATCCTCCCATATCAGCCTCCCCAGTAGCTGGGATACAGGCTTGTGCCACCATGCCTGACTAATTTTTTTTTTTTTTTTTTTTTTTTTTTGAGACAGAATCTTGCTCTGTCTCCAGGCTAGAGTGCAGTGGTGCAATCTCGGCTCACTGCAACCTCCACTTACCGGGTTCAAGTGATTCCCCTGCGTCAGTCTCCGGAGTAGCTGGGACTACAGGTGTATGCCACCACGCCCAGCTAATTTTTTGTATTTTGGTAGAGACGGGGTTTCACCTTGTTGGCCAGGATAGTCTTGATCTCCTGATCTCGTGATCCACCTGCCTTGGCCTTCCAAAGTGCTGGGATTACAGGCGTGAGCCACCAAACCCAGCCCCGACTAATTTTTAAAAAATATATTTAGTAGAGGCCAGTTGCAGTAGCTCATGCCTGTAATCCCAGCTCTTTGGGAGGCCGAGGCGGGTGGATCACTTGAGGTCAAGAGTTCGAGACCAGCCTGACCAACATGGTGAAACCCTGTCTCTACTAAAAATACAAAAATTAGCTGGGCATGGTGGTGGGCACCTGTAATCCCAGCTACTTGGGAGGCTGAGGCACGAGAATCACTTGAATCTAGGAGGCGGAGGTTGCAGTGAGCTGAGATCACACCATTGCACTCCAGCCTGGGCAACAAGGCGAAACTCCATCTCAAAACAAAAACAAAAAAACAAAATATATATATGTGTACGTATATATATATTTATATTTAGTAGAGACAAGGTCTCACTACGTTGCCCAGGCTGGTGAACACCTGGCCTCAAGCAATTCTCCTGCTTTGGCCTCCCAAAGTGTTGGGATTACAGGCCTGAGCCATGGTGCCTGGACCGTATTGTCTGTTTTAGAGTGACCATGTATTACATTCGAAATTTGGAAAAAATAGAGTTTTTTTTTTTTTTTCCCCAAAATTAAGGAAATCAGAGCAGAGAGAAGAAAAAGTAAGGTAAAAGCGGCGATAAAGTTAAGTATCCTAAGTATATTCCATTGCTCTTGTATTTAAATCATGTGAAGTTGGCAGTATGGCGCCTGGCACAGACTCGATAAATAGCAGTGATTGCTGGATTTCGTGGGTCTCTGTCCTTCACAGAAACTCAACTGCCCAGTTGAATCAGAGTAATTGGTGGCCCAGGGAGACATGAGAGGGGGGGTCAGGGTGGATAGCCTGATCTCCAGTCTTTCACCAGGGGCCCAGGGCAGGGGGAGGGGTCCTGGCTACCTCACTGGAGGGTTAGATGAGTCAGGAAGAGCCTCATTGAGCCTGACCAGCTCTGCCTGCCTGCACCCTGCCTCTGAGCACGGAGTCCCCTCCCCTGCCAGCCTCTTCAGAGCTGCTTCTGCTGTTTTCGTGACTGTATCCTCTTAGACAGGCTGGTTACTGTTCCTTGGAGAGTCTGGTGATTTCCCCGGGTGCCCTAGACAGTATTTCAGCTCAGTTATGGAAGACAAAACAACATTAAAAATTCAAAAGCTCTTGCAGTGAGTCTCATTCTATCTGTGTGCCTGCGGGTCGCTCAGTGTGTCCAGCCTCTATCGGACCTGGCACATGGCATTACTCTAAAAGCAAAAAGTCAGCCAAACAAAAGGGATTCTCTAGACACCTACTGTGTATTAGTCATTACCAAATACCTATTCTGTACAAGATGATGACAGAGGCAAAGCGGAGGAAGAATAACGCCAGTGATAGCTGTGGCCATATATTGAACGTCTGTGACTCGTCTCTCCACACATTCTGGGAGATTCCTTTTGGATCCTGGTGAGTCCTGAGGCTGCATGGCTGGAAACCCACACCTAAACTACAATGCCAGGTATCTCCAGGGTCTCACTTCCTGGCTAATAAGAACCCTTGGCCACAGTGATTGGCAGAAGAATTGACACTTGTCTCAGTGGCAGTTGACGAGACTCAGTTTTCCTACGGTTATTAGAACTGTAGCAAAAAGTGAGTCCCTGCTTCTGTTGGGAGTTGATAAGAGAGTAGGATGTGAGCCACTGCTGTGGGCAGCCATCTTGTCATCATGAGGCCAACAGATGAGGCCAGCAGGGAGGGAAGCGGTCTTTAGAGACAGAGTAAATGAGACTGAATCCTAATGACATCATCTGAGCTCCTCTTGGAGCCATGCCTAAAGCTAGCTCTGCTCCTGTACTTTGTAGTTACACAGGCAAAGAAGCTCCTTCTTTTTGGCTCTGGCCAGTTCAGGTTGGTTTTCTGCATTTGAGCCCTGATGATCCGATGGGGCAGACTCTGTGCCCAAAGGCTTGAGTATTTGGAAGAGGCAACTCCCCACATCTCATTCAGTCTCCAGCAGTCTAACAGACGACACCTTCTCCTGTCATACAACCACCCGTGTCGGTCAGAGGGCATGGCGAGCCCACGAATGCGCACAGAAGCAGTTGCATGCCAGCAAAGGAGCAAAGCCCCTCAAACCGCTGCGTCTCCTCGGGCAAATCACTTTCCCTCTCTGAACATTGATTTTCTCACCTGCAATATGGAGGTGATGTGGGAATCATAACATCTACCATATAGAATTGTCAGAATCACTCAGATAATGCTGCAAAGCACCTGCCACAGTGTCTGGCGCATAATAATAAATGCTTAGCACGTGTTATGGCTGGCCGTTCCCAGAAAGCTGTTTGGATGAGGTGATCTCTGAGGATCCCGGAGGAGTTGGGGGTAAGGATCAGAGTTGGCAGCAAACCTCACTTGCTTCCCTTTGAGCAGCGTAAGACCAGGGGCTGCGTTTTCTGGAGCAGCCTGGTAGAATGGAAAAGAGTCAGCCATCACCTTGGGAGGCCTTGGTTCTAGTCCTGATTCTGCTGTCAAGCCAGGTGAGTGGCTTTGGAGTGGGTTTGGGCGTGCTGCCCCTCACTCCCTGCCCGCCCCGCCCCATTCCTTAATGTGCCCCTTTCGGAAGCAAGAAAGCCACCACCTCTCTCCTCTGCTTTTTTCTTTTCTTTTTTTTTTTTTTTTGAGACAGAGTCTTGCTCTGTCGCCCAGGCTGGAGTGCAGTGGCCGGATCTCAGCTCACTGCAAGCTCTGCCTCCCGGGTTTACGCCATTCTCCTGCCTCAGCCTCCCGAGTAGCTGGGACTACAGGCGCCCACCACCACGCCCGGCTAGTTTTTTTCTGTGTGTTTTTTAGTAGAGACGGGGTTTCACCATGTTAGCCAGGATGGTCTCGATCTCCTGACCTCGTGATCCGCCCGTCTCGGCCTCCCAAAGTGCTGGGATTACAGGCTTGAGCCACCGCGCCCGGCCTCTCCTCTGCTTTTTTCATAGAGCCAGGACCACACCTTACTTAATCTAGTGTCTCCAGTACTCTGCCCTGGGCTGATAGAGCATTCCAGAATGTCCATTTCATGAGTGATTAAAATGTGGTTATAATACCTATACCTGACCTTCTGATTTTTTGGGTTTTTTTTGTTTTTTTAGACAGAGTCTCACTCTGTTGCCCAGGCTGGAGTGCAGTGGCTCGATCTCAGCTCACTGCAACCTCCGCCTCCCGGGTCCAAGTGATTCTCCTGCCTCAGCCGTCACCCCGCCCAGCTAATTTTTGTATTTTTAGTAGAGATGGAGTTTTGCTATGTTGGCCAGGCTGGTCTCGAACTCCTGATCTCAAGTGATCCACCACTGAGCCTGGCCTTTTTTTTTTTTGAAATGGAGTCTCACTCTGTCGCCCAGGCTGGAGGGCAGCAGCGTGATCCCGGTTCACTGCAACCTCCGCCTCCTCAATCCAAGTGATTCTCCTGCCTCAGCCTCCCGAGTAGCTGGGATTACAGGTGCCCGCCACCTTGCCCGGTTAATTTATTTGTATTTTTAGTAGAGACGAGTTTTGCCATCTTGGCCACACTGGTCTTGAACTTCTAACCTCAGGTGATCTGCCTGCCTTGTCCTCTCAAAGTGCTGGGATTACAGGCATGAGCCACTGCACCTGGCCCTTTTTTCTTTTGGAAACTTCTTGTTGGAGAATAACAGAGACAGAAAAGCACATAGATCCTAAGGGGACTGCTCAATTTTTCACAACTGAACTACCCCCTCCTCCGTACCTAACCCTTACTAGCACCCAGAAGCTTCCCTGGCACCCCTTTCCAGTCATTCCCTCCCCAAAGATAACACAAACCTAACTTCCGACAGCACAGGTTTAATTTTGCTTACTTTTGAACTTTATGTAAATGGAGCAATGCTTAAAGGCTTTCTAGCAGTTTGTAAGTTACAAAAGGCCCACAAGGTACATTAACTCCTTAAATTTTCACATCAGTACAGTGAGGTGGGCAAGAACTATGAACCCCATTTTACAGAGGCAAAAACGGGAGTTCAGAGAGAAGAGTATCCCCCATAATCACATTGCTGGCAAGTGGAGTGCTAGGATAGCTGGGTTTCATTTGTGTGTGTCCCTGGATCTTCAATGTCTCTGCAGGCATCAGGCTATGATTCTCAGGAAGACACCCGAGGAATGGTCAGGAATCGGACACCAGGCCAGAGAAGCTGATGGTTTAAGTTCCCCATGATGGAGGAGGCTCTGGACCTTCAGGTCTGGTCACCTTTCGCACATGGCCAGACCCTCCCCTCTTCACCATGCTCCCAACTGCTGCACTCAAGGATCTTTTTGACCTCCCTGAGTCCTCCACACTGAAGAATTCGGAATGCTGCTGGAAGGAGGGAGCAACATAGAAAGTTATTTCCCCCTCCCCGCTCCCCCGCCCTCCAGGTTCCCACACAAGCTGCCCAGGAGCAGATGGTCTGCTTTGAAACTGACTCTGTGTGCCTAGACACATCCAGGGCCACTCTGGGTCAGCACCTGGGCAGGGGTTGCAGGAAGCTGCTCCTCCTCTTCCCTGCTGGCAATAAGTTATCTGTTTCCAAATTCACCCCCTTACCCACCACTACAGCCTCCTCACCCCGCTGGCTGATAGACAGGATTCCCCGGGTCTTTCCCTCTGACCTCATGAACATTCTGTATGGCCTAATGAACTCTCAGACATCCTTCAAAGCCCAAATCCCAATGCCACCAGGAGGTCTTTGTCCCGAACATGCACTCATTATGCATTATACACAGTAGTTTATTTCTCAGCCCAACCCAAATATAGATGATCACAAAAGTTACACAACAGTCACACACAAAGACCACAGTGTCACCACACACGCAATGTTTTTATCTCGATGTCTCTTGCAAACTGGGTTACACACAAAGTTGTACCAAATCACAGCCACGTCCCTCTTTTGTGTGGGCACACACAACACACACAAACTACACCACAAAACCCCAGGGTTTTTTCTCAGCTTGTTTACAACAGGGACACCACGTTTCCTTCTACCACATTAACAGGCATGCACAACAGGACCCAAACATGCAGACCACATAACACACACACACACAGGCAGGCTGTCTTCTGTTCCTTCCTCCTTCCCTTGCCCTCACAAAACCTACACATGGAGACAGTGTCTCTCCTGGACCTGCAAATTCACATGCCTGGAGAGCCACGGCTCCTTCTCTCTGCTTTCCCACCATTTCCTCCCTCACCTCTCTATCACGGGGACACACAAACACACACAGCAACAAACCCCAAATATAGCAGACACACACACACAGCAATGAACCCCAAATACAGCGGACACACACACACAGCAACAATCCTCAAATATGGCAGACACACACACACAGCAACAATCCTCAAATATAGTGGACACACACACACAGCAATGAACCCCAAATATAGCGACACACAGACACACAGCAACAAACCTCAAATAGAGCGGACACGCACACACAGCAATGAACCCCAAATAAAGCAGAAACACACACACACACACACACACACACAGAGCAACAAATCCCAAATATAGTCAGGGCTTTCCCTTCACATATAAACACACGGGCACAGGGCCCACACCCCCTCCCCCACTTTGTCTCTTCTCCCTCTTCCTTTCTTACACACACAAACATACACACACACACAGCAACAAACCCCAAATATACCAAGACACACACAGCAACAAACTATCAAATACAGCACACACACACACACACACACACATAGCAGCAACACCAACTATAGCGGACACACACACACACACACACACACACACAGAGCAACAAATCCCAAATATAGTCAGGGCTTTCCTTAACACATAAACACACAGGCACGCGGAATCCACCCCTCCCCCCGTTTCTGTCTCCTCTTCTCCTCCCTCTTACACACACACAAACACACACACACACACACACACGCACACGCAGCTGCAGCGCCCTGGGTCACACTCCAGTGCAGGAGCCAGGCAGGAGACAAAGGTCGCCGAGGCTCCCGGCGCCCCGCACCGGACACAATCGAGCCTTTTGCCTGTTCTGCCTGCTCCCAACGCCGGTCTCTGCAAGGTCCGGACCCCGCACCCCGAAGCCACAGCTCCCGCCTGCGCCTGCCCTCCAGGGTCCCGGCGCAGCCCGGGCAGCCGGCTCCCAGCGCGCCAAGGGTTAAGGGCCCGCGCGGGCGCGGGGAGTGCGACCTCCAGCTGTGATTGGCTGCGCCACCCAGGCCCCGGCCCCCGCGCCCTGCCATTGGCCCCTTGGCGGCCCCGCCCCTCCGGCACTCGGCGCCGAAGCCGCGAGCTCGCCCGCTGGAGCCGAGCGCGCCGCGGGGGCCAGGCAGCCGAGCTGTCCGAGCAGCGGGGCTGGGAGCCGGGAGTCCGGAGCTGGGAATCGGGGGCCGGGCGCAGGGAGCGGCGTGGAGCCGGGGAGGAGCACGCAAGCTATGGTGAGTGCCGCGCCCGGAGGTCCGGTCCGGTCGAACCCAGCCTCGACGGTCCCGGGCAGCGGCGCCGCGGGTGGCACCGGGGGCCGCCCTGACTCGCGGGGGGCTGGGCGCCGGCTGCAGCGGCAGCCCCCGCCTGGCTCTCGGAAGGCGTGCAGTCGGGGGGCGCCTGGGCAGAGCGCGGCTCTCCGGGCGGCGCTGCGCTCGGTCCCGTCGGGGGCGGCCGCGCCGAGCTTGGTTCTGGTTCCGGCCAGATGTGGGGGGCTCGGGGTCCCCGACTTGCTTTGGGGACGGTTGCTGCGGTCTGGTTTGGGTTGTGCTGAAGTCCCTGGACTCGGCTTGGCTTGGAGACCCAGGGCAGCCGGGCTGGGTCGGGCTTGCGGGTGGCGGCGATTCCGAGGTGCCTGGATGCAGCTGGACCTGAGCGTCCTGGGACACTGAGGTCGGTCTGGGGCTTGCCTTGGGGCACCGTGGGTGGCCACGCCCGGCTTATTCGGAGGGCTACGTTGCGGCCCTCTGGGACTGCTGATCCAGCTGTGGCCTAAGGGGTGTAGGTGGTGGCGGGACAGCTAGGTCGGTGCTGTCAGAGACCAGGGGACACTCGGGGGCCCAGCACCCAGCGATCCAGTCTCCCTAGCATCTCCCGGTGGATGGGTCCTCAGAGGAGGGGCTTGCTGAGGCCAAGTGCTGACTGCGATAGGCAGGGGTACAGGGGAGAAGGGGAACTGGGGAGGGGCGTTTCATGGGGCTCTCTGAAGTCCCAGAAGAGAAATTCATTTGATCCAGGCTGGGCTCCCTGGGGGGCTGTTGGAAGGGGCATTGTCCCTGGACCCCAAGAGCAAAGGCCCTTTGTCCACTTGTCGAGTGCAGGGTGCTGGCCTCTTCGTCACGGGGAGGGAGCCATCTACTTCTCTTTGGCTTCTTTCCCCATAGACCAGCCACTCTGATTCCCTCTCCTAGTTCTGTTCTGTGCCCTGTGAAGTGGGTCCAAGTCACCATGTGGGGCTGAGGAGGGCATGTGCCTGGGACGGTGGCTGCCAGTACCTGTGATCCAGCCACCTCCACTTCTCTGTGATGTTGCTGCCAAGCCCGAGGGTGCCTGGAAGGGAGCAGGACGGGACCCCCTGTAAAGCTGAAGAGTCCCACAGTGGTTCCCAACCCCTGCTCTGCCCAGAGCTGGAGTCCCCTTACAACCCCCGCATCTCTCCCTTCCAAGGCCTCTCTCTTCTCACCCAGCTAGGGTCTTCCTTGCTTAGGCACCACCAGTTGCCTCACTAAGAGTCAGAAGCAATGGAATTATGGCTTAGTTCTATACCTGAAGGTGCTTAGAGACCACCTGGGACTCAACCTACCTCCTCCATTAGGAATCTCCGCTGTAATGCCCCGCCTAGACGGTTTCCGTGACAGGGAGTGCACTATCTGTGGACCAGCACTGGATTTAAAGTCTCAGTGTATGGGCACTAAAAGGCCGTGAGACTTTGAGGTTGTATGATCGATCCCCTCTGCCTCTAAGCCTACCCTTAGTTACTCATAAAGAAAATTTTTTCTTCCTTAAAAACCACCAAAAAAAGAAAGAGGTCCCCTCACTCTGCTTTGGTGACACTTTATAGATCCTTACAACCCAAGAAGCCCGCCAGCCCATTGTTAAGAGCCCAGGCTTTGGCATCAAACCAGTTTGTGTTTGAGCCCCATCCCCTCCCCTTCCCCACAGGGACTTTGGTCTAGTTGAAGCATCACCCTTGAGTTTCAGTTTCCTCATCTGCAAGATGAGATGATAACGCTTATTTCCGAAGGGTGAGATAACCCAAGTGAGAGTGCTTTGCTTCAGTACTGCTTAGTTTTCCCTTCTTTTCCAACCTTGAACCCACACTGGGAAGTTCTACCTAACATCTAACCTATTTGCCTGGGGGATGTCTCTGGAATCCAAGAACAAAGGCCCGTCATCCATCTGTCCAGGGCTAGGTGCTGGCTTTTCCAGCACAGGGACAGAGGCCACCTATTTGCTGGTGTGAAAGAAGGATGAAAGTTTATCATGTTGTAAGGAGGAGACCGTGATGCTTTTGTCTGTCATTCAGCCAGGATGTGTTGAACCTTACTCTAAGCCAAACCCCGTGTGAGGGAGGAAAGAATTGACCGAATCAACAGTGTTAAGGGGGCATCCACCAGGCCATAAATGTCTGCACTGGTCCTCAGGCTTTTTGGCACACCCTTGGAGAGGTAGAAGTATGCCAAGCAGGGGCTCTCTCCATGCTGGAGAGATGAGAGAAAGCTTCATGGAGCAGGTGACATCTGAACTGGAAGGGATATCCCGGGAGGGGGACCTGTGTGACAGAGGAGCAGAGGTGTGAGTGCACAGGACAGGCTCCTGGAAAGCCCAGAATGGGGCTGGTCTGGCACCTGGCTATGGAAGGACCAGGAAAGAGAAGAGAAAGAGGGCGAAAAGGTTGCTGGGGCCAGAGAGTGCGAGGCTGAGGAAGTCCACGGTGGATTGTTAACCGGCTGTGCGTGCATGGGGTGGAGGCTGATGTCAGGCCTCCCTGGCTCCTGTCGTTTTAATTTCCTCTAAACATTGGTTCCTGTGCTGTCATTCCTGAGGCCGGGGTGATACGGGACTGATCAAGTGTTTATTCCCTGGATCTCCTGCTCCGCAGCTTTTAAACAAATCCAGCACTCCTTTCTTTGCAGTGTGGCCAAATTGTCCCTGGCCCCTGGGTTCCTAATGGGGCGTGTTTGCAGGGTGTGTATGTGTGTCTGTGTGTGTATCTGTGTGTGTGTGTCTGTGTCTGTGTGATGTGTTTCCTGTTGTCCTGGCTGAATCTCCCCGATGGTCCCCAGCTCCCCACCCACGTCTCTGACCCCTTGGCAGGGAGTCAGTGCTGTTCTTAAAGGCGTCTGTTCTCCAAGGCCTCGGATGGACCCTCTCCCCTGCTTACTCCCAGTGCAGGCCGTGGGCCGAGGGTTCCGAGGAGGCTTTTTATATCTCCTGCCTCCGGTTGTACTCACACCGCCCTGCAGCAGGCACAGAGAGGTGAAGGAGGTTGCCCAGGGTCACAGAGCAAGAGAGTTCCAGAGCAGGCACAAACCTCCTTGACTTTTGGAGGGTTAACCTGGCAAACAGTTTGGAGAAGGAAGCCCAACCCATCATCCCCCATCTGCAGTTGTGGCACCTTGAGAATGTTCCTTCACATTCCAAGCTGGGGCTGAGTTGAGGCTACCGCTACGGGTTGAGAATGCTCTTTACTATACAGCAGTTGAGGACCCAGGGTTCAGGTTTGAATCCTGATGTACTTTTGGGTCAGCCATTCCCCCACTCTGTGCCCCCTTTCCTACAAAGTGGGGCAGATTTGCTCCACTTCTCAAGATGTCATGAGGATCCAATGGATGTGGAAACACTGTGGGAACTATTAAGAATGTGCGGGAGTCTGGGGGCGGTGGCTCACGCTTGTAATCCCAGCATTTTTTGGGGGCGAGGCGGGAGGATCACTTGAGGCCGGGAGTTCAAGATCAACCAGGGCAACATAGTGAGACCCTATCTTTAAAAAAAAAAAAAAAAGGTAGGGAGAAGTGTTACTGTTTGAGGCTAGGAGACTAACCACATGCCCCCACATCACTCTGGTGCCTCTCAGCCACTCCAGATGCGGCTCCCAGGGCACCGTGCGTACTTTACCCTGGGCAGCCTGTGCCCCTGCTGGTAACTGGGCTACTGAGGCCTCTTTGCATTGCTACACTCTTTTGGTAAGCAAGGATGTTATTACCTTTGGTTAAAGAATAAATACATTGTTTTTCCTGCAGAGTTGGGGAGGCCAAGGGAAGAACAGGATTTGAGGCATGAGAGGGCTACAGGGTGGGCTTGGCAGAATGTTCTGGGCATTAGCCCAAAAAGCCAGCTTGGCCAAGTCCACACTTTCACATCTACGGTGAGAGAGGAACCATGAGCAAATGTTCACAATTTTTTGTGCTTCTGCTCAATTTTTTTCTCTCCAATTGACTGGGTAAGCCCCCGGCCATAGTCAAAGGGCTTCATTCATTCCTTCATTCATTCACTCACCAAACAAGTCTGCTCGGCACAACGCGAAGCATGGGGGCTGTGGTCAGTGTGAGTGAGACTGTAGGTCTTTCTCTCCCACAGTCTGATGGACAGGCAGGCAGACAGATGCAGAGCAGGAAATTACAAGCGCAATTACTGTTGCCAAGGAGACACGCGGGGGTCTGTGGGAGTGGACCAGGAACCTGACCTGAGGATCAGAAAAGGCTCCCTGAACACATGGCATTAAAGCCATAATGTAGAGTGAGTGGGACTGGGAAGAGTGTTGGGGGGTGGGGGGTGGAGGGAGCAGAATGCGCCAGAGTACAGACCGCTGTGCCTTCAGGGATGGTTCATCTGGAGCGCAGAGGACCATGCTTAGGAGGTGGCCCTGGAGGGTACACTCAGGGATGGTAATATGAAGGACCTGGCACTCAATCCTCAGGGCAGTGGGGAGCCACTCAGGAGTTTATTTTTTAAATTTTATTTATTTACTTATTTATTTATTTATTTATTGAGACACAGTCTCGCTCTGTCACCCAGGCTGGAGTGCAGTGGCGCTATCTCAGCTCACTGTAACCTCGGCCTCCCCGGTTCACGTGATTCTCCTCAGTCTCCCAAGTAGCTGGGATTATAGGTGCGCCACCATGCCCGACTACCTTTGGTATTTTTTTAGTAGACACCGAGTTTCGCCATGTTGCCCAGGCTGGTCTTGAACTCCTGACCTCAAGTGATCCAGCCGCCTCAGCCTCCCACAGTGCTGGGATTACAGGTGTGAGCTACCACACCTGGCCTACTGAGGAGT